TCAGAGCTCAAGATGGCCGCCAGAAATGGGGGGGATCGGGGACCAAGATGGCCGCTGGAAGTCAAGATATCTGGCCTAAGTGGCCACCAGAAGTGGGGGTACCAGGGCCCGAGACGGCCACCAGAAATGGGGGTATGAAAGCCCAAGACAGCCACCGGAAGTGGGGTATCAGGGTTCAAAATGGCCACCGGAAGTGGGGTATCAGGGTCCAAAATGGCCACCGGAAGTGGGAATATTGAGTCTTTCCTACTGTCCCCCATAGTGGCAGTGCGATGCCCAGCAGCGCTGCAGGACGCCATGTTGGATTTGAGCCCCACGCTCCAGGCCCTGGCACAGGCGGGGCCCGTGGAGCTCCTCCCCCAGGGGGCGGGGCCGGAAGTGGGGCCGGAAGTGGGGCCTGGATGGGTGGGGGCTCCCACAGGGACCGGCATCCATGTCTACATCTGTCTGCAGGTGAGCAACATTGGGGAGGGGGGTCATGGGATTGTGGGATACTGGAGGACCTGGGGTGGGAGGATCGCAGTGCATTGTGGGATGCTGGAGGACCCAGGGGGATGGGAGGACCCCAATGCATTGTGGGATACTGGAGGACCCAGGGTGGGAGGACCGCAATGCACTGTGGGATGCTGGAGGACCCAGGGGGATGGGAGGACCGCAATGCATTGTGGGATGCTGGAGGACCTGGGGTGGGAGGAACCCCATGGGATTGTGGGATGCTGGAGGACCCGGAGTGGATGACAATGCTTTGTGGGATGCTGGAGGACTCAGGTGGGCGGACCCCATGGGATTGTGGGATGCTGGAGGACCTGCCATGGGAGGAATCCCATGGAATTGTGGGATGCTGGAGGACCTGCCATGGGAGGAATCCCATGGAATTGTGGGATGCTGGAGGACCTGCCGTGGGAGGACCCCAATGCATTGTGGGATATTGGGAGATACCAATGCATTGTGGGATGCTGGAGGACTTGGGATGGGAGGGCTGCAACGCATTGTGGGATGGTGGAGGACCCAGGAGTGGGTGGACCCCGATGCATTGTGGGATGATAGGGGTTCATGGGGGTATTATGGGATGTTGGAGGACTCAGGTGGGGGGTCCCATATTATCATCGGATTTTAGAGGACCTTGGGGCATTATGGGATGTTGGAAGACCCAGGTGGAGGTCCCATGGCATTATGGGATTTGGGAGGGCCACAGGGCATTTTGGGATATTGGAGGACCCCAGTGCATCATGGGATGTTGGAGGACCCAGGTGAGGGTCCCATGGCATTATTAGGATTTTAGAGGAACATGGAGCATTATGGGATGTTGGCAGACCCCAGTGCATCATGGGACATTGGAGGACCCAGGTGGGGGACCCATATCATCATGGGATTTTAGAGGACCATAGGGCATTATGGGATGTCGGAGGACTCAGGTGGGGATCCCATATCATCATCGGATTTTGGAGGACCTTGAGGCATTATGGGATGTTGGCAGACCCCGGTGCATCATGGGATATTGGAGGACCCAGGTGGGGATTCCATATCATCATGGGATTTTAGAGGATCGTAGGGCATTATGGGATGTCGGAGGACTCAGGTGGGGATCCCATATCATCATCGGCTTTTAGAGGACCTTGAGGCATTATGGGATGTTGGCAGGCCCCAGTGCATCATGGGATGTTGGAGGACCCAGGTGAGGGTCCGGTGCCATTATGGGATGCCTCTGCCCCCCACAGGACCTGGTGGACCCCCACTCTGAACGTGCCCGGCTCCACGCCCGCACCCTCAACCTCCAGCACCGCCTCCGTGCCCTCACCCCCAGGGGGGAGGACCCCACATCCTCCTCCCCCCACCAACGCCAGGTAGGGGGCTCTCATTAACTAATTAACATCGCCAATTAACCCGTTAACCTTATTTGTTGGCGGGGGAGGGCTCTTTATTCACGCTGCTCTCATTAATGCCAGGTTTTCTTTTTTCCTTCCCCCCCTTCCTCCCTCCCCCCCCTCCAGGTTTGCAGCCTCCGTTCTGAGCTCGCCCTCCTCACCCTGGCACTGGAAGCTTTGGGACCCCCCCAGGAGGAAGGACGACCCCCCCAGGATGGATAATGCCAATAAAAACCCCCATAGGAAAAGCTCTTAACGAGCCCTGCCCTAATTATTTGTTGGGGGGGGGGGGGGGGGGTTGGTTTGTGGCCTCAGCTCGCAGGTGGGGGGAGGGATCTCAGGAGGGTCATTAATTTGGGCCATTGGTCCCCGAGGTCCCCGAAATAATGGGGACGTGCAGGGGATGATGGGAGCGGGCGGCGCGCTGCCCCCACCCCAAAACAGAGCTGACAACAGAGGCTGAGGTGAGAGCCCCGAATTTGGGGGGGGGGGGGG